AGCTACATTTGCCCACAACCCGACAGCTCGGAGTGACATTTGCGAAGTGATCCCCGCTTGTGGTGTCTCCTCCAACGAAGCCCTCGATCGACCCAACTCCGCTGTCCCGGCAACCTTCGACACGCGCCAGATGAGGACATGACGTGTCTGGATTCCGGGGCCCTGGTAACAAAGGCGAGTGACACAGTTATGCATCGGTTGGTGTGCTTTCATAGTTCGGCTGCCCCAGTTTCCGGAGCCTAACTGGACCTCACTGCTCAGGCAACCGAGAGCTCATAGATTTCTTTAGAGAAGCGTCCCGAATTCGGGTCACAACCGGTGCAGACAATCGACATGTCTCGAGACCCTCTGTCAGGCCGAGGTGGCTACAGTGATGCGCTTATCAACCACATGGACTAGGGTACATCTGCCCTGAGACAGGCCTTTGTGCTCCCCTGTTGCCGCTTGACGAGCAAGAAGAGGGCTCGAGTCCCGTTGGGGAGAAGGCTTGTCTCAATTAGCATTTCGCAGCGTCACTCCACTGTCAGGCCTTAAAGCACATCCACCAACGTCTGTGTGCAACCTTGGTCGCACAGGGTGAGGAAGGAGGGATAGTTGGTTTCGGAACCTGCTAAAACAGAGTTTTTCATCATTTTGGAAAGGGTTCATAAGTGCCTGATAAGAAGGTTTAAAGCTCAAGCTCACCGGATGGACTATGCTCTTGTATTCCTCTACTTTTGTGTTGTCATCACCTTCCGGTTGGCGCAGATCACGCTACCTCTTTTAAGAGTTCGAGTCAAGAAGATACGCCGGTACCAGTCGATGTTCCATGCACACCATAAACTGTATGCAAAAAATCGAGGGTGTGAAGACTCCATTTTCGTTACCGTCTCCTTTTGCCTCGCATCGCAACCTTGTCTTATCGTCAGGCCGACCTCGAAGAACGCACCTGTGCCGTAGTCCTCTGCCAAAATCGTCATGACAATTTACATATTTTTAGTTAATAAGTAGGCTTTCAAGACTATCAGAAAATCATGTATAGGCCTACTTATAGAGGAAAAATAAGTAACGTAATCAATTGACATAGCAAATACAACTTTGCTTCATTGGCAATCCGTGCACAGAATGTGATATTAAAAAATGGCTGGCCTTCCTTGAAATCCGCATCTGCCCTGAGACCCAAACGCATTCATGGCAATGTGACGGCCTAGTCGGGCTGGCAACTGCAGTTCACCCCAACCTGGATGAGAATACCTCTTGGGTAAGCAAGGCTGTGTGAAATTCAATGAAGACTCAAGTTCTATTTACATGATTGCTGGAACATTCAACTACCAGTCTCCTTATCATCCTAAACAAGATGGGGTAAGTACATCTCATTTATTTCACAATTTTCAGCCTCTGATCGAGGACTTTGTGAAATTCACAGGCGTTTCAGTGCGCTTTGTCGGCCTTAGCACCAAAATGCAACGAATCTGAGGCAAGTGAAAACCATCCCGTGGCTTAATATTTGTACTTCTGGTATTTCCAACTGTCCCGATCCCAAAATCGTCCCTTCACAAATCGAACTTTTAACTTGTTTGGGATAGCCACAGAGGCGCCACGAGAAGATAGGATAGTTGGATGTACCAGGAAAGAAAAAGGAAATATACCACAATTGGCCACGGTAATCAATCGTTCACACGAATTGAAATTCCCCATAACGCAACAGTCGTAAGAGACTCTTTGATACATTTGCGGCTTACACACCAACTCTCAGAGTCCCGTAATTCTGGTCTCGAGCAAATATGATTGTGTTTTAGTTATGAACCCTGACTACAGTCAGTGGCCACAGAATTATAACCATTTGAGGGAGGGGGTTAGGGACTGATGCCAGACAGACCGTCTGAGAAGGAGAGGAGTGAAAGTCGTCTGGTCGCAGCGGCGTCGAGGCTACACCTCCTGTTGCCATCAGGCCGATGGCTTGTGATCCCGATCTAGAACAGTTGCCATGGTGAGACCTCGATGGTCAGCCAGCCTCAAAAAGAGGCAGAAAGAAAACGATTGGCATGTACCGAAGACGTCTTGGGGCGGAACAAGTTGAGAAGGTTCGGGATTTGGAAAAGAGGGACTCCAACTCACTTTTGTCCAAGCTCCAGCTATGCAAGGGCTGAAAGAAAGAGGAGACTGCAGTCCGTCATATCATTGGCCATCCCGAGGGGCAAACACTTTAGCCTCAAAGCCACACAACCCCTGCAGAGCAAGGTGAGTTTCTCTTACTCACCTGCCCTGTCTCTCTCTCTCCTTCTCAACTCACATCCTTTTTGGGTTCGATTCCCGCCGAGGGGTTTGATCAAATCGCCGGGGCAGGAAGAGGCGAAGCTGCACTCCAGCCTCCATGATGGCCTCGTCTGGAGCGGTGTGACGAAGGGAAAATCAAGCCTAGCCCTACATTTCGTCATGGCCTCTTGACTGCCAACATTGTCGGCTCGCCTCAGACTCCATCTGTAGATCCAGCCATGACCGGCTGATGCGCGACTTCCGACTCGACGAACCCTACTTGGCACGAACTCACAGGGTCTTTCGCTTTCGTCTTCTTCTTCTTTTGTCTATCCTTCACATTTTGACAGATTAATGTGCAGACAGACGGTAAACTATTTGTAGGACGTTGGAACAGAAGAATATTGACTTTCAAGACAAGCTTAGAAACGCATTAACGGGGCAACCAACAGGCGAGAATGATGCAACCTAGTCGCTCTAACTGCAGAACTAATGTCTTAAAACCGTGTCACACCTAAAGCCTCGATGCTATGACTGGTCGAGAGGCAGAGAGACTTCAAAAACACATCTTTACCATCGACTGCTTCTGTCTGGTATTTGGTAGTAATTAATATATCCTTGCCTCTGAGTGACAGCACCCATGATACGATTCTATCCTCGGTCAGAAGAGAGGCTCTTGTGTCTATGCGAATTCGGACTGTTTTACGACCGGAACTGGTTAATTCAGCTCAGGTCTCGGAGCTGAGGCAGCCCGACCTCAGACTCTTTGGTCGGTCCGACAGTCTGGGATGCGAAGCTGTACCAAACACCTCTTATGAGCTAGACGCTGATTTGTCGGGCTCGGAAGTGAAGAGACGCTGGCTGACATTGATAGGCCTCGGACCAGGCAAGAACAGCCGTCTCGAGTGAGAAGTTTGTAATTTTAATGAAGATAACAATAAATATGATTTGGTAACAGCATTGCCTACAATGGAAACCACAGTGTCGTCGTGATGCTGATGAGAAACGGTGTTGCAAAGTCGAACCTGATCGTTTCAACGTATACTCACACCGAAACGAAGATGTAGTGCATGCGAGAAAGCGAGGACAGGAGTGCCAAGACGATGCCATGCCAACTTATTTTATTGAGACAAATTCACACATTATTTTTGTCCCATTTTTTAGTTGAAATTAAGGTTGGCTGACATGAACTCGTTATCCAAATATTCTTCACATATGCCGGATATAAAAATGTCTTATTAACAAGCTTCTCATTGGGGTTCACATCTTAACCTGCAATCATAATAGCTGAATTCCGAGGGGTTGGCAACCAAAAGAAAGAAATGACCAGGACTCGGTCTCGAGCTCAGTCTAATTAGAATGACTGATTTTTCGTTATCGTTTTTTCGCGAGAATCTGCAAACTCTATTCGGGCAAGGAGCTACAATTTAAGGTTGGGATACATTTCATTCCATTTGAAACTGTTTTTTTGTAAGGAAGCAGCTGTTATCACATCCGCTATCCTTTTTCATCCATGCATGTAGGTTGGCCATGAAGTGGCAAAACCAATAATGGAATTTCACTTTATCTGTAGGTTTTCGGGACGGCCAGTAGATCTGGTGAAAGCGCTTCATTCACTCTTTTTAATGGCAAATAATGAGGGATTGGTGGTTCAATTTTTCCACAATTCTATGAATAAGCCTACGTTCCAATTGAATTTCGCACAGCCTTGCTTCCCAAAAGATATTTTCTTTAAGGCAGGAGAGAACTGCATTTGCGCCCTCGCCTGAACTAGACTCATCGGCACCCCCAACGGGGCTCGAACATGGCCTGTGCTAGCGCAGTGAATAGTCAACCACTATGCAACACCGCCACAAATTCCCTTAAAGTACAGGGCAGGTGTCAATTTCAATCAAGGCCACATATTTCCCATTTCACTTTCTTTGATGGCATCCTCCATGAAGCAAAGT